ATTCGCACAAAATTGTACTTGAAAACATCATGTATCATAAAACATTAAACTAAGCAGTTTCTGCTGCGACAGATGAAAGTACCTCAAAAATTTTCAAAAAACAAAACTAAAGAAACACTTTAATAAACTAGACCAGTCCTTGGGGATAACCAACACAACCGTAAAATAGATCTAATAGCCTCCCTTAAGATCATTGACGACATCGTAAGGAATGGGAGTAACAGTTTCCATGACTGCACCTTCAACCCTGAAACCTGGCTTGGGTCCCTTAGGCTGCCTCTTGGTGCTAATGACCTCACCCTTTGCCTTGGCCTCAGCCTTCAACTGATCATTCTTTATCTTCCTCAAACAGAATTCCTCAGTGCACCTTGAAGGCTGCACATGCTCCACACGCACATGGATCCTCTTCCTGATAATCCTGTTGCCAACCTGATATCATGCACAAGCATACAACTTGTAAACCTTCCAATAATCGATTGCAAAATAAAACATACAACAATCATTTAGCATCAGGGCAAAAGCAGGATAGAATTCCTCAAATCATGAGACAAAAGGAAACTAGATTTATGACAATGATCAAAATTACAGTGCTCAAATCAAAGCTCCTGATTGATCCAAGTAAAGGATTAACCTACATTATCTCCATTGTACAAAAATGGTTCTTCCTAGAATCACTAACCTACATAATCTTTTATTTCCACAAGTGAAAATAAATTAAAAACCTAATTTCCCGATCCATAAAGGAAAAACTGAATCAAACAAGTCATAACACATCCAGCAGACATGCATAAACTATATATAATCTGCACATAGCTTTCTATAGCTATTATTTCCCAATAGAAGCTGAACATTATTGACAACTTTTCTCGATCTTCCTTGCAGTGAGTTATAAACATCTGGCATACAGTAAGCCATTCTCTAACAGGGTGTATTACCCAGCTTCCCATTCAGCATAATCTAGACATCAACAGTACAATTAGCAGCTATAAACTAAAACCATCTGAAACCCACAAACCACATAAACATATACATATACATAAAATCCCCATTTCCACCTAACAACAACCACAACAATGATAGCTATAATGTACCCAGATGTCACTGAACACTGTTAAGTCGAAATCAAACCAAAAGTTTGGAAATTTCAACAAGAACCCACAAATCCAGACAACCATTCCACAGAAGCAAATCATCAAACACCATTCAAACAACAAATCAGAGTCCAAAAATGAAAATACAGAAAACCCAACGAAATGAATCACCTGCTTGTTTATCTCCACACCGATGGCGCGCTTGGTGACGTTCCAGACGCGACCAGTACGTCCATGGTAGAATTTGTGGGGCATACCCTTGTGCACGGCGCCGTTAACCTTGACATCGACATAGTCGCCGATCCTGTAGGTCTTCAGATAGGTTGAGAGAGGGATGTAACCCTTCTTCCTGAAGGCCCGCGAGAAGAGATCGCGAGTACGAGACCTGAGACCGTGTCCAGCCGGCATTTTGAGCCGCTCTCTCTCTAAGGTTTGGAGGTTTCTTTCAGAGAGTGGCTGCTAAAGCCCAAGACGATGAGAGTGTAGAGTTTTAACTTCAATTCAAAACACCGGCAAGGAGAGATGCTGGAAAGCTTAATTGTATATTGATAATGTTGAACTTAAATACAACGTTACAACTTCAGACTATGTTATCCTAAAGACTTGGTAATACAAAATAACGTGAAACATAACTCCTAATAGAATAGGATAATTAGTTTATTTAATTAAAAACAACTGCAGTAACTAGGTAAATATTTCTTGAACAATTAGTTTAGCGAGAAACCTTCAACATGCGCTACAGCTTCTGTCTTCAAGCACCATCCTTTATAGAGCAAACTCCAAACAATTTCCTTAGCTTCGAGAACACCGATAATTTGAGAGGTTTGATTAGAACACCGTTTTCATGAAGTGGTTGCAGTCCTACATTGGCTGCTTAGACAAATCTCAACTCTTTTCTCCTCTATAAAATGTTTCATATCTTATCCATGTTATCGCAGACATGAAGTACAACCCTCTCCTTTAATTGGGCTTCAAATTTCTGTCAATTGGGTCTTTCTAAAGAAGGACCACTTGGAATTTTTCTTTAGTGTTTAGAGCTTTTAATCAGTGTTAGATATTTAAAATTGAAAATTTTCAGAATTTTTTATTGTTTATAATCTAAGATTTGGGAATTTCTGAAATTTATTGGAATGGAGTAATTATATTCCGAATTTTCGGAATTGGCATCGGAATTGATTTCCAGTTTCAAACATGTTTTGGATGGAATTCGGATTGCCCGTTTCTCATCCGTTCCGGAGGAATTACAGGCCTATGAAATTTTTCATTTTGAAGTCTCATTGTGTATTGAACTTGTTTTGAAGAATATCGACTGAGAATGAACTTCTCTACACACTTTTTTCCTTCTCACTCTCTCCATTTATTTTTCACTTGAATGGTATTCAGAATCACTTTCATCAGCCTCTCACATTATGTTTTGTTCAATATGCATAATTGAACCTCATTTTGTCCAATATGGAGTGATACAAATATAAGAAAAAGAGCAAGCTTTTCATTCCCAATACAAAGTTTCTTAAACTTTTACTTATTTGAACAAAGCCCATCTTACAAAATGAGGTTTAAAAAAACCTTTCTAGGGAACCTATCTTACAAAATGAGGGAAAAAAACACAACTTTCTAGGGGACTTTCTTACATTTTCTTTAGTCCTACTGCACAAACCCCAAACGACAACTGACCTTCTATTCTTCAATGAGGCTTTTATTCTAATAACATTTCAAGAAACAAGACTCTACTTTATAGCAAAGAAAGGTGACCTCTCAGAGCTCTCAGTAAGTCCATTCTTGGGGCAAACGAACATCAGAACGAAGCTGGTTATAGCAATCCCCTCTGCCCATGCCCACGCTTTCGATAGGTTTCCTTTGCTGGGTGGCTTTAATCTGCTGGATATTTCTCAACCCTGCAACAAAAACATATAACCAATAAGGAAATCCACAACTGCAAAAAGAAAAATTGACAATTGACAGCCGTTGATCAATGGGGCTGCGGCCAGTCTTGGCTTTGTAGTTTTCTTGTAACAATGCAGCACTCAAACAGTTCAATGGATTTCTAATTTTGCTTACTAATTCCAAGCAGTGAAAACAAACATTCAACCTATCTAGAGGTCAGCACATGCAATATTACTCAGTTCATATATATATATATATTATATATAAGTGGACAGAGCAGACCCATCAGTCCATATTCCAATAGAGATTAACATTAATGAATAGGTCCACCCAAAATATAAACAATGGGTTACTATTCTGCCTAAACAAGGTGCTTCAAGCATATGAAGAACCACTTAACAATCTTTCTCAATTAAAAACAAGATGTTCACATTTCAACTTTTAACTACAAGTGGAAATATATAGCATCAAAGAAAGGATAAAACTTCCATTTTTGTATAAAAGACACACCCTTTGTTTGGAGAAAAACTTCCATGAAAGGCTAATAATGCTGTGACACGCGTGATAATACTTTCACGTGGCATAACATTATTGCTTGGTCGGGGATAACAATGCAACTAAGTTTTTCTCCTTTGTTTCAGATTGACACAAAACTTTGCAGAATTGGTACCAGAAAATATACAAAAACAAAAGTGTGCCAGAAACGCATCAATACAAATGACGTTACGAAAGTACGAAAAGAATAAGGATAAAGTTGACGAAAATTTAAAAAAAAAAATCAAAATCAAAACTCCGAACAGCAGAACGAAGAAATAATAACTCACCCTGTTTCTTTTTGACCTGAGGATTACTGGTGGTGGTTGTGGTATTCAAAACCCTGGGATGAAACACACCTGTGCCTCCAGAAACCTTCTCAAAACCACCCATTGATCCAATCCCACTTCCCTGATACGTCCAAAGACGGTTTTGCTGTCTATTCAAAACCCTCTTCCTAGTTTCCAGAAAGCTACAGACCTGCCAAAAATGACAGCACATTACCATTAGCAACTCTCGAAACTCTGCCACTCCATTTATTGAAAGCTGGGAAAAAGCAAAAGGCTTGAAAAGACAGACCAAGAGTAAAAATAAATAAATAAATACATGACAGAGAAAGAAGGAAAACCCGGTTCAAGTTTTTTGGTTCATTGTTTACCTGAAGTTGAGCCGGTTTCAGAAACTGATTGTGGTAATGGAGTTCAGCCCCATACCCATGAAAGCTTGCACCTTTCTCTTCAAGACCATGACTGAGGCTGAGATTAAGAGACCTCTGAGGCAGAGAACCAAGCTGGTTGTACTGAACCGGCGGTCTGAACGGCTGCAAACCCAGTACAAGCAAAGACAAAATAGACTATGTTAGTGTTAGCTAGCTCTGTGTGTGTGTGTGTGGGAGAGAGAGAGAGAGAGAACCTCCATGGGTATATGTAGCAGAGATTTTGAAAGGCATTGACGTTGTCTGAGGAAAGAAAGAGCAGCCAAGTGTTGGGCGAGCTCGTCCATGGAAAGAAAATGGTGGGGGTTAAGTTTGGAGGTTGAGTTGGCTACTTCGTTGAGGAAAATGTCTGAGGGAAGCCATCGTTCACCATCATTCAGATTTGGAGGAAACCCAGCCATTTTAAGCATAACCCACCAAACTTCAATTCAAACACCCAAAAAAAAACAAGAAGAAGAACAACAACCAAAAAAAAGCAAGTTCTTTTTGCACGAAGAAAACAGAGAACAGAGAAAACACAGAAAACAGAGAAATAATTTATTTTTTTCAATAAAACAGAGAAAGATAGAGAAGGAAAAACAGTTTCAAGGGTCTGAAAAGCGGGACTGCCATGGTCTTACTTTCAAAACAACATTGTACTCTCTCTCTCCTATATTAAGAAGATAGAGACAAGTGTATTATGTTGCGGCCCGTTTGGTTCCCAAGGAAAACGAGTTTTTGGAAACTGATTAATGACTCAATGAGCAGTTGTCAATTTCAAGACTCAATGGAATTGGGAAATTTAAAAAACTGGGTATTTATTTACAATGTTGTCAAAAAATACTACTTTCCCAAGAATTTATTCACAAAAATAAAAAATAATTTTAAAATAGGAATATCTAGGTGCCAAACAAGCCCTTAGAGCCCAGCTTGGGCTTAGGCCCGTACTCACACAACCTCTTGAGCTTGGCCCGTACTGGTCGGCTCGTTCGCGTTCCACTACTCGGCCGTTTTGGTCTTTGTTGCACAACGCAAAACCTCCTTTCCTCTATACTCACACGCCTGGGAAAATGCGTACTACTTGCAATAGAAAGCCGACGCGTGTCCCCTGGGACACGTGGCGCTGTATTGATTCCAGGTAGATAAAAGGTTTACAGGGGAGTGAGTGTGCCGTTGCCCGGGAAAGGCTGATACGTTTTTGCAGGCACAAATCAACGCAATGGATGTCACCACCTGCTAAGACTCGTCCCTTTCGCTGAAACGTGTCTTATGAAGGATGGGATATATTGTGTGCGTGCATTCACAATAGTTATCGCGTCCCTCTCCCTTTTCTTGTACAATCATCTTCTCTTCTTCTTTCTTTTGGGTACTTCTTCTGGTCTTTTATTTTTTAAATTGTGTTTTATGTTTTTAATCTATATATATAAAGTAAAAGGCAGAGAATGATAAAATATTTTAAATACCAAAAAATATCATTAGTTAATGCAAACATTACGAATTGTTAATTAGAATATAATATAGTAAATTCACATTTTTTCATATTTAAAAAATTAAAATGAAATTCAGATAATGGATCCTATTTTTATGGAACACAATTACTCATTATCTTTATTAATTCTAAAAT